ATTAGGGACGGCTAGCGCAGATAGCCCTCGTGCAGCTTTGCGCGAAATCCATAACAAACAAACAATCAAGAGGATCCTTTCAGAATAGTTTTGCATTTTATTTGTTGTAGTTGCATACCAGTACATGTATTTATTCTTTGTTGTACATTTGTTATATATTTTGAATAAGTTAAGTGTGGTTAGTGGAAAAAAGATCAATGGAACAGTAAACTGTAACATTCAACTGAACGTATATGCACGTACGTAGCTTAAAATGATTTCTCCATAAATAGACATAAAAACTTAAGAAACAAGATAATTAAAAATTGTTAACTAAAAACGGGGAATAGGATCGTAAAAAAACAAAAACAAGTTGAACCAAAATGCAAAGATTATAATTTCAAGCTTACAATTAGAGGCAAAAAAATAAATAAACTAATTAGGCTGGAAATAGTGTCTATATTATTTTCCCAAGCTACAAATCCCTATTTTGACTCCATGTCTACAGTACTTTCAAGATCATGTATTCGTCTATTAAAACTTCACAATATTATACGATGTCGTGATTTAGAATGCTTAGATTTTGAAAATACACCGAAGTTAGAGTTTTTTAAAAGTTAAACCATTCGTTTCATGTTCATGTATTTTTGAACAAATGATCATGATAATAAAAAAAATATCGTTTTTCAGGTATTTTCTTGATCCGATAATTAGGATGAGTTACTTGAAGTATTTCATAATCTTATGAAAAAGACTGTAACTTTTCGAAGAATCTACTAAAAGGCGTTACTTTTTATGTTTTATTCAGACATGTGAAATGTTTATACTCTCGCACGAAACAAAATTTACACTATTATTTCAACTGATTGTAAATAGGGGATAAATAGTCTGTAAAGCCTGGTTCCTAGATATTTTAGGTTGCAGGTGTCAGTGTGGATGTTCGAAACAAATTAGTAGTTGTTGACATACGGAGGTGCAGTTCTTTTTATCGGTTCTCACTAGCACTTTGTAATAGTGGGCTGTTATACAGATTTTGATGGGAGTGTCTTGCATGAGTGATTCGGAAAATTGTGAATGAAAAAAAGCGTTTGAAGTATTAGATTGTTACCAGACTAAAGCCAACAGTACCTTGATTCGCATAAGGTAAGCACAGAAAAAGATAGAGTAAGAAATTAAAACTGTTTGTATTTTGTCTTCTGCTAGTAAAAGTGAAACTAGCAATTTTATATTATTAATATTAGGCCTAACCCTTGCTAGAAATTCAAGCTTTTTAATCTACTGTAAAAGTGTAATTTGTTAACGAAAAAAAAATCATTACATCTTACTAAGTTATTTTAGCCATTAAGTTTAATTCAGATTGTTTATACTTATACTATAGTATTTAGTTTTGAAAATAGTAAGCCTCATAATAAGGTAATCGTTGTAGGCCTACCCACAGTGTTTTTTTTTCCACAAGTAACGCACAAATAAAATAAAGTATAACATAATATTTGTTGTTCCATGAACCGATAGTTGAACCCCTGCTTTATCTGAACAAGAAAATGTTTGTTACTGATATTACTAGATAAAGTGCAAAACTCTACACAGTATTCCAAGTGAGGCCTAACTACTTAAAGTTAAGCTAATGACTTGAAGTTTGAATACAGAGGTAAGATTTGACTTGTAAGTTGTATTGTAATTAGTATATGTATAATTTGCACTCAGATATAAAAGTTTAAATCAAATTCAATTACATAAGTTGTGAGTAAAGTTCAGGAACACTTTACTGACTATTTAATCTCAGCTTCTTTTGAACCATAAGTATAACTTATAAGAACTTCTTATACTTGTAGTTTAAAAGAAACTGAGATTGATTTAAAGAAGTGTTTCCTTCACACGTAGCATAACTTCATTTTCAACTTTAATGATTATTCTGGACATGGTGTGGGATGGGACCACATCATACTCACTTCTTGCATGTTGAGCAATGCTTGAGTTATCCTTGAACCTAGGATTAGAGCGTTCTTTTAAACTATTTTCCAGTCTTATGACATTCAAGCTTATATGGGGGCCCTCGTATATTGAGCAGCTGATTGATACCAGGTTAACCTGGTGAAAGTTTGTAATCAGACAGATAACATATTTTGTATATCTAACAATGAACAAGTTTTAAGAATTCATTAATGTCGGTTACCTTCTCAGTATTTTATAAACAACAACACTACTCTCTTCTAAACTTGTTCAGAAGAATGGGTGAGTAAGCTTTCAAGGTTTATACATCACGAACCTGAATGTGATGTTACACGTATGGTTTAACCATGGACCATGCAACAATAAGTAGCCCTACATTTATTATCTAATTTTATTATTATTATTATTACATAATTATGTTCCTTAACCACAGATATAATTAAACAAACAAATACTTTCATGTACAGTAAATAACTAAATATACATTACAAGTGTAGTTTTCCTTTTAAAGTTGTTTTAAGATTATAATGAGTAATAGAGTTGAGAGATTAACTCAATTAATCAACACAAATGATAATCCATGAGAATTGATTACAGCAGTTAACATCAAGTAAAATAAGTGATTAACTGAAATTATGATTAAATCAGTTATGTCACAAAAATGATAAACTAATCAGAATTAGTTTTTGATTATTTTAACTATTCAAGTAATTGCAATATTGCAATTCTTATCACTCATTATTATTGATATTGATTAATTCAAGGTTGTTAAGCTTAATCAGGTGGTGTCATTATTTGTGAAAATGTTCAACCACTCAAAATTAGTTCCTGATAATTACTAATTTTGATTACTCCAATTATTCAAGTCTTATGAGAATAATAAGTTAATTGAATTTAATCAATTAATGACACCCTAATCCACTTACCTTGATTTGTGCTGTTACATGCAATATTTTTTGAGTTTTTTATTATGTTCTTAATCACGTGTGATATATATGTACACACACACACATATGTGTATGTGTAAGTATATATATATATATATATATATATATGTGTGTGTGTGTGTCTGTATATATGGTTTATTTGACTCTCAAACATTATGGGTAT